ATGCTCTGCCAGTAAGCTCATGCGCAAGAAGCTGGGAAGGAGCACAGCCAGGAGAGCTGAACCGAACTAGCCAAAGGGATATTCCGTACCACAGAACGTCATGCTCATATATAAACTGGGGGAATTGGCCGGGAGGGGCGGATTGCGGCTCAGGCATCAGTCAGCGAGCGGTGAGCAAACGCATTGTGTGTCATTTGTCTTTTCTTGGGTTTTATTTCTCTCTGTTACATTCAATTTCATTACAATTATTAGTATTATATTTTAGTTATTAAACTGTTCTTATCTCAGCCAGTGAGTTTTACTTTTTTTCTGATTCAACTCCCTATCCCACTGGGAGGGAGGAGGAGTGAGCCAGAGCTGCCTGGTGCTTAGTTGATGACTGAAGTTAAACCACTGCAATTGTCCAGTTAATGGCCGTGGTTACATTCCTCTACTAAACAAAACATGCCTGCACTTACAAATAGAAAAACCAAAGAGATAACACAACTAAAAAGTTTTTTCCAAGTTTCCAAATCACTAAAGTTGTTTTGTCCCTTAATGTTGGTTGTTTTGCCATGAAAGATGCGTGTTGAGATATTTTCTCTTTCACAGGATTTTGGGGGCTCGTCAACAATGCAGGAATATCAACGTTTGGTGAGACGGGGTGGCTGTCTATGGACAAATATGAAAAATTTGCAGATGTGAATCTCCTTGGGAGCATCAGGACAACCCTGGCATTTCTTCCCCTTCTGAGGAAATACAAGGGTAATGCTAATCCACTGTTATTTAGAGTCGTAGAATAATTAGCTTACTATAATCAGGGTAATGTAGCATCTATAAAAGAAGTCTTAATTGTCTCTCAGTGAACTGAAATGACAGCCTCCTTCTGTGTGGCCTGAAAGAGCAACTTGATCCTGAGAAGAGGGTCTTGTCAGATTAAAGATTCTGTCTTTACAATACATAGAAAAAGGTATTTAGAAATAATGAACTATCTCAGTGTTTAACTCAAAAAAAGAGAGAAAAAAAATGCTTACGGTAGATCATTAAGCCCAGACACTAAGCACTAACAATAGGAAAACACAAAGATCCAATAAGCTCCTGCTTAACTTTATTATTTAGGCTTTACTATTTTACTGTTTGGCAATTAGGAGAGGAAGGATGACCCTACAGAGATGAACTAGAGACATCCAGCCTCCAGTTCCAGGCCTACCAAGATCCTCTCTATGACTTTGGGCAGGAAACTTCAAGTATGTGAAACAGTGCCGCAGAGAGATGCATACGTAACCCCTGGGATAAATGCATTTGCACGGACTGCCATCCGTGTGGGCTTCTGCCCTTTCTTCTGAGAAGAAATGGCTCAGATAGCCCTCTACAGCATTGCAGCACGTCTCAGTTGCTTTGCAGTTTGTGCCCTATGTGTCGCCATCTATATCTGGGAAACAAAGACACCCTTTTCCTTTCTCCCCCTTTGTCTTAGCATGTCTATTTAAGTTGTAAGCTCGTTAAGGTGAGGATTTGTTCTGTGTATACAGCGTCAAGTACAGTAAGGGCTAGGCTTCAGTTGGAAACCCCAGATGTCACTGTTCCACAAAATACTGGTAAGATAAAAGCTACTCTGCTTCTTTCTGCTGGGTTGCCTTTGGTTGAAGATATTCGGACACAAGAAAAAAAAAAGCCTTTAAATACTTCAAGCTGGATGTATTTTTGTAAAAGAATGTGCTACTGCTTATACCCAGTGAGTGTGTTTTGTGGCCATTACATGGGGAGAAATACTTTTTTTTTTTCCCTGTGATATCTTTTTCTTACTGCTGTAACTCAATGATGCTAATCCACCAGAAGCATTTGTCTGACTTTCTGCATTGCAAGGAGTTACACTGAAGGGAAAGGGACTAATTGTGTGTATGATATTAAGTACATACGTACTCTTTTAGAAGATTTGTATCTGGATGGCTGCACATGCATAGTACCTGATCTTAAAAAAGCACACTGCATCTTACTCCTGGCTGTCAGTGCTGCCTTGCCCACACTCCATTTTCAAGTCTAGCTGTGTAAGAGAGGAGACCAGGGCACTGCTAGGAAGAATCTTAAGTTGTCTGTCCTCCAGGATAGCTAAAGCTCATGTTTTTTGGGGAACAAGTGGCCTCTCCAAATGAAAAGCCTGAATTATGGATGCTAGAGCATTCTCTTGGGAAATCTAGGGTTTCAATTATCTTAGGCAAAGAGAGAAGTTAAATGAGATGTCCCACATCACTTAGCTGCTGGATAAAGGAGGCAGAAATCATCCTACTGTCACTTACGCAGCAGCTGTTTTATGAAGGAAGGGGCTTATTGCCATTTTAGGATGAGCACGTGTTGCAAGAAAAACTTCAAGATTATTAACACTTGTAAGGGGAGGTATTGTCCTCCAGCCTAGAATTAAGCATCCTACTATGAGAGGACCAACATTTCCCTGTAACTTTTCCAGATTGCCAGGCCAGCTGAGGTAACATTTTTATCAGCAGGCTGGTAGCTGTTCTCCAGTTATTGTATGTAAGATTTATTCCAGACACAGTGCAGGAATACAGAGAACCTAATTCAGAATGACAGATTTCCCTGCATTCCCATGATACCTCTTTGACAGCCCACAAGCCTACACCATTTGGTCCGATCTGGGGCCCAGATCTGGGTCAGGTATGGATCCAGATGTTACATGGATCTGTGGCAGCAACAGGAGTGCAACTACGTTTTCTGTATTGTTAGCGACGAGGCCATCTTCTCTCTCACCTCTGGTATTTCTATACCCCCAGTCACACATTTCTTACTCTGTGGTATGACCGTGATGATAGAAGTTTACAAGTAAACAATGGGAATGAATGACAGCCCAGTACCTCAAACCAGAAACCTGCTATTTAAGACACGCCTGCGCTCAGCAAGAGTTATACATGGGAAAAAAGCAGCAGCGAAATTACAGCAAAGCGGCCTAAGGCTGCACACATTTTGTCAAGTCACTGTTCTCTGGTGACATTTATCACTGTAGTCTGAGTTTGACTTTATATGCACAGTTGTAAGACAGGTCTCAGTGTGGAGACATCATTAGCACAGGAAAAATGGAATTAATAGTCATCTATCCACCAAAGGGAAAACCACCAGCTCCTCTCCTCTACAGTCCTTCTCCTATTACTAGCATAGTCTTTTATTACCATTTTTAAGTTTTTAGGGGACTGCTTTGTTTCCATCTCTTTTATCCTGTCTCAGACTCGGGAGGAACAAGCAGCACACTGGGAATGTGTTATGCTTTGTCTAGTCCAGCATCTGTCACTAGATAGAAGGAAGATCTTTTGTGTGAAGGACTTTGCTTGGCAGAGCTGAGTATGTTCCTCTGCTGGGACTGCACACTTACAGAGCCCAGCTTTGGCACGCTGAGCAGTAAAATGGCATCACACTAAACACCACTTCATTAGCAGTTCAGAAGACTCAGATAAATCAATTCTGTGTTGAAGACTGTAAGTGAAGTTATTTGCACTATTTTCTTTCCAGGACGTATTGTTTTCATGTCCAGCATTATTGCCTATTTTACTCTGGGAAATGGTATTTACTCTATGACCAAGGCAGCTATTGAAAAATTTTGTGATGGTCTAAGACTGGAAATGAAGAAGTTTGGTGTGCAGGTAAGTGATGTAACACGTCGCTGTTGTGTGAAACTCCTTACTCTTTCTAACATTGATTTTCATACAAGAAAGAGAGAAGTTTTGCTCCTGAAACTTTCTACAGAGCTTAAGTGCATCTTTTTGTGGGGAAAGAAGCAAGCAACTTGCACAAAGAATACCAGACAATGGTGTGGGGGTGGAAATTTTGGCGAAGGGAACAAGAACGACCATACACAAAATAGTATCTAATCTTGTGCAAAGTAAGCTCCATGCATCAAATCAACAGAGTTGAAGATCAGAGCTGAATCTGTGGGTGCAGCTTCCCCTTGGAAAGAGGCTAATCAGTCAGCTGAAAGTCACCAAGAACCTGGGTGATACTTGCAGTCCTGAGAAGTAAGGTAGCGCTCCTATTTTTTGTACCAACGTCGCAACTTCCACCCCTTCTCCACATCCTCTACAGTAGAGAAACATTCTGAGTCAGGCCTGCCTGAGCCGTGCCATGCTCTGTGAGGAGCTCCAAACAGTACAAGTAATGGAAACTTTTTTCAGGGACGCTGCAGGAGCAAAGAGCCCCAGATGTTGAACGCAGAGAAAAGGAAGGCCTGTCACCTACCTGTCACCTCCTCTCACATTAGTGTTTAAAAGCTCCTTCCTTTTTGTGGGAATGGGCACACCGCAAGAGGCAGCATCACGCTGTAATTATGTTTTTATTCTCTTAACCTAAGAGGCTCTAATAGTGCTCTTAGTGCCCTGTCTAAGCAACACTGATAGTCAAACCCGAAGCTTAGATCCTTAAGTAGCTTCATTAGGCTTTTTCCTCAGAGTCACTGCACTGCTCAAACACTTTTCTCAAACACTGAAGGTCTTCCCTGGAGGATTTACATTGGAGTACTCTTTATAGACACAGATTTACAGCATTGTTATAAGCTTTGTGTTGGAAGAAATTACAGTTATGCATCTATTAACTACCCCTCTCGAATAAATATAAGATGCTATAAAATGCAAGTGATTTTACTCATCCTAATACCAGACAGCATAATGAGGATTTGAACCGATTAGCTGAGGATAATCTCAAAGGCATGGAAGAGCTTAGTTGAACAGGTTAGTTACTTCGGTTGTTTTGCGATTTTTACTCTAGATTTACTCTAGATTAGCCCCAGCACACAACACAGTGGGCCAGGCTGACAAATATTTCCAGAATATCCATGAGAGCTATTTTTCTGTTTCTCGCTGTATGCAAGACACTGGCTAGCATTTGTCTCAAACCTCCCAGGCAGAGATCCTGCAGAACACACGGTTCCTCAGCCCCTCCGACATGTCATATGCCAACTGCCACACAGGGTGAGTGGCGGACACGTGCTGGTACCAACCTGCAGATGGTGGGTACTCTCTGGTAGATGGGCTCAGTGGCAGATTGGAGACATGAAGGTTTTCTATTACTTTCCAGAGAACGCCTGTCAGATTCCCAGGTCTCTTACACAGCTCAGCACCGTTTTCCCTCACCTTCTGTTGTTGTCTTTAGAAATCAGGTCAGTTAAATGCCACAGAGTTTTTAATGTTGCATATCTACAAATAGTTTGAACGAGTCCGCTGAGAAACGTGCATTCCATGAGTGCTCTGAAATTCCCCAGAAGCCTCAGGAATGAGCAGAACAGCAGCAGCACATGCAAAGAAACCAGGCAGAGGAGCAAAGGATTTGTATGCTTTCCATTTAAATCTAAGTGCACAGAAATCTATGGAAATTTGCTAGTGACTTCAGTGAGAGCTAGACCAGAACCTTTCCTCTCTGTACTTGGCTGATAATACCAATTTTCCTTTTAATTACACCTGCTCAGGGAAAACAGCACTTCTTACACCAGGACCCTCTAATTTTCTTTGACATCTCCTGTTGTCCCAAACTGGGGCAAAAAATTACCAATTGCAAGATTCACCATTGAGTGAAAAAATCCAAAGTATTCCACTTTGGAGACATCAAAGTCATACTGAAATGCTTTGTCTCTGTATTGTCAAAACATTTATACCATTAAGCTTTGTATAAAACTCAGAGATGCACTATTGCATTCTGTGAATGTATGCTGAGTAGTCAAAACAAGAACATGAACATCAGAGCGAAATGAGGAAGTTAGAATAAAGCACCTTTGCAATCTTAAATGTTTCACGGGAATATATTTGATTTCAGTCAAGTTTTCAAGGTTAAAATTTCAACAAAGCAGCATCTTCTGGAAGAAATTTGTCTGCAGAAAGCTTTTGATCTGTTTTACTGACTATAGTATTTTATTGAATTCAAAATGACTGATTGCATCTTGATTAAGTTTTACATCTTCCTTTTAGGTCTGTATTATTCAGCCAGGAAATTATGCACGCTCTACAAAAATTCAGCCACCAGTCAGTGCTGAAGAGATTTGGAATGAACTCAGTGAAGAGGAAAAGGCAGTTTACAATATGGAGTATGTTCAAGAGCGAGCAAACTTTTTCAATAGCATACTCAGCAAAGGAAGCACTAATGGCAATGAGGTTGTAGATGCTATGGTAGATGCTTTAACGTCTCCTGCGCCCAAGGCACGTTACATGGTAGCAAAGCTGCAGGAAAAAGCACTGGTGTTTGTGTGCGCTTTATTCCCAACTGTTGTGATGGATTCCGTTTTGTCATACGCACTGAGTAAAGTAAAACTGGCGTAGCCTGAGTTGGTACCGGTCAGTGACTCAAGCTGGGCAGTTTTTGAAATTGAGAAAGCCAGGGCTCAATCTAATGCCTCTAGAGATACCAGCTTACAGTGTTAGAGGCATGATGGAGCAAAAATGGAGCATATGCCACAAGGCAACTGCACACCTGAGATCATTACAGCAGAGATGAAAATACCTTATTTTTAGGAGCCCAATAGTAATTTATTACAGGTGATGAGACGAGGTTAATGGAAAAGTTAGGAACAAGCAATAGAGCATGAAATACTTCACATGGAGTTAAGTGGCTGTAGAAGGTTGGGAAGAGTCGAATAATAAAGTTGTAACATGGAAACAGCATCTTGGCTACAGTTCAATGCTTTTTCAGGTGTTCTGGATAAATCTATAACAAAGCCAGCATGTCATAGACTTTGGAAAATAAGTAATATATTCCCTTTACAAATGAGTAATCTGATGTCTGCATTAATCAATGCATTAGCCAAAAGTGTAGTCAGAGAGCTAAACACCAATGTAACAGCAATAGCAGTAGCAACCTGTAGCTGAGAAAGAACATATTCAGCCTTGAGATCTGTTTTTGCTACTGTTATAAGAGAATAAAATCTGACCAAAAAAAACCCTCTTAAGGTGAACAAGAAAACTTTAGTAACATGTATCTATGAGAGTAACTGAGTACTGAGGCTTCATTAGCGCTCTCCTACTAACTGCTGTGGAAAAAAGACTGTTGGTTTACATTACACAGTTTTACATTTGCCTTGGTTGTGGCATGGCACAAAATCCAAGAAGTCTGGGAAAAAAGGTCCCAAAATAGCTGATATTAACTGTGGTGATGCTGACAGATACATGGTGCAGCATACCTGAGAAGTCCTTTCTAATATATTTAATCAATTATTGAGAAGAGTTACTTTTCTCTTGTGGTGGGTAATTGGGCAGTCTGAGTCAGTAACATAGGCGAGATGAGCAAACAGACTGACTATTCCAGGTCTTCTCCTGATACACTCAGCACAAGAACAGCCACCTTACTGCACCATTTTGAGATTGTGGAGCAAATTTATTCTCTTCCCAAATGCTGGACCCATCCCTGAAGCTGGCATTGGTAAGAGGACAAGCCAGAGCTCCCACCTGTTTCCCTGCCCATCAACAGCAAGATTATCAGATGATTATCATCCACTCTCCTCATTTAACCAGAGCTGAGCAAGGCCAAGCAAGGGAAGGGGAACAAGGCTTATTCCAATTGAACCAACTGATTTCCTGTATAGGAATTCCCCCTGCTTGACCTCTTGTTTTGGAAGAGTTGCTTTCATGCTCTTAGCTGTTCTTTGTGCAGATTACCCTTCCTTACAGTAAGCAGGCACTGAACTCAACAAGCAGCTTTGAAACCCAGATGTTTCTCCATCAGGCCCAGGGTACGTACATGTCCTTCTCTCTGCCTTAGAGACCATGTGGCTTTCCATTAAATGGTCTCCCTTCTGTTTGCATTTCTAAACCCTACAGGAATAAATTGTTGCTGAGAGCCAGGACCACCAGAAGAGCTGCATGCCAGATACCCATGACATGAAATACTTCCAACTGAAAGTTCATGTGATAAATATTTCAGTAGCCTCATGTAACATCAGATGAGCAACACTCCAGAACATTTATTTCTTGGTCTTGAAAACCAAGAGCTTGCAGCGTGTAGTATCTCACAGGGGATACAGTGACATGCTGGATCAGAACAGATGGGACAAATGAAGGCAGTTGATATTTTCATTGCTGTCTAACCTGTCAGCATGGAAGGTAACTGAAAAATAGCTAGAAAATTAGTATCTTTCATCTTCCCCCTCAGCTTTTTTAATATTATGATCTGCATATAAAGAACTAATCAAGAGAGAATCAGAGCTTCAGTTATTAACAGGCCTGATCCACTCCCACTGAAAGTCATCTGGAATCCTCCCACTGAGTTAGATCGGCTCCAAGGCACAGTGTTAGACAAGTAAACTTAAAAAAAAAAAAAGTAGCAGGAATAATTTTCGAGTCCCTGCACTTAATAGAAAAGAGATCCTTATAAGAAATGGTGATGAAGGAGGTGAAGCACTCCCTCCTCTTCAGGTCTTTTAGGGTACAGAAGTTGCAGGATTAATAACAGAGGCCTTTGGTGAAGAAACACTGCTAACCAAGTCAGTGATGAACTCCAAGGTCCCCCAGAGCTGTTGGCTCTTCAGACGAACCCCTGCCCACCTATGTGTCACTGAGAAGCTCACCTGACTCTAGGGATCCCAGGTCTCATCCTGGCCCATGTAGTACCTGGGGAGCACATGCTGGGACATGCACAATTGCTGGCCTGCCCCACCAACCCTTGTGTTGCTTTGCCACACTGGTGGGTAACCCTGAAATCACCTTTACCTCAAGTCAAGTTAAAGAGCAGATGCATACAAGAAGCCTGGATTTACAAAATCCAAACTAAACAACAGTCCCAGTGTTTTAGGAAAAAAAAAACAGCTGACAAAAATAAAATAAAAAAAAATTTCTATTGGCACTACTCTTAAATCTAAAATGCTCCTCTCCCAATACCCAGGTAACCTGCTGCAGACGCTTTCCTGGGATTGTTTTTCTCTATAGCATCCACCTCAGACTGCATTCAACAGAGAACTTCTGGGCAGAACACATTAGCTTTTCTCACTACTCATCTCTTACAAACCCTGCTGGCAATTTGGGAAGAATTTTTTTTCCCTTGAAAACAACCACCACAAAAGAGACACAGCTCTTCTCCCAAGTCACTTCTCCAGAGACACAGTACCAGAGACCCAACAAAGCACGCCAGCAGACATGACACCACCATGGGTTAGGGAGCACTCTACTAGCTGCATGAACATGTACATGGATTTTACAGAGGTTTGGTCAGGAGGTAAATTCCAGCCATTGTGGGGCTTTCTTACTAAGCACTTACATTAATTATTTCATGGATTTTCTCTTCTATGCTTATTCCTAAGAGCACATATTAATTGGCAAAAGGAATAAGCACCGGGTTTCACAGTAAGCAATTGCAGAGAGTATAAAGAAGAGCAAAAAGTTAAGCTAAATCCGTTTAACGAGTTGTGCATTGATCTGAGTGACACTGACAGCTTCATACAGTGTCATCAAAAAAGAAACAGAACACAGCCCAGGAAACACACATGTAATCAAGGACTGGCAGAGTGTTACCTACTGGCACGCTCCCACACCCCAAGCATGTGCAGCAGCACTTTGCTTCACTGCAGTGTTATGGATGGAGCTTTATTGACACTTACCAATATTAACCCCCTGATCCGACCTCATGCTCCCTCCGTGCAACTCTCAGCTAGCTGAAATAGTCCAGATGACCATGAGTATTAGCCAAATGTATAAGTACATGTCATTTTCCCAAGCTGGCAAATCTGAATAAGGAGATTTTGGGTGCAATGCACCACGCAGCAGGTTTTTTTTCAGAATCCGGAGAGCTGAAGAACAGTAATAATTACTTGCACGGCAAAAGGCTTAAGAAACAAAACAAACATGAAATCCCCAAGCACACCTTCCAGCTGAAGTCTGGCTATCATCTAGTGCAGCTCCCACCAATGTCAGCAGGATCTAGTGCCTACCACCACAAAACTCCTTCCAGAGCTCAGCTGTGAGACGTTTGTAGGATCCTTGGGCTTTTACATCAACAGATAAAAACCAGCACAATACAAAGACAGCGACTGATACTGAGGATGACAGCTGTATTATTCCACTTGTTCCATACAGGGACTGTGCAGTGCTGCCAGTCTGGCACCTTCTAGCACCAAACAAAACTTTACAGCCTTCATCTTTCAAACACTTTGAAGCAGCTGTGCAGCAGTGAAATCTTTTCATGTGTAATCAGACCATTTTGGAGCTACAAAGTGAGTATATCTGTAACGGAGGTTTCACCCATCATCATGAAGCACATATATTGTAGAGCAATTGAAGTTTATGTTTAATAGTGTGTAAAACAAGGGGAAAGCATATATGCCCCTCAGTAATAAATGTTCTTTAGAATAACTCTGGATAGGAAATAATTTACTAGTGATTATCTCATTATCAGATGGTGACACAGCAGGCAAATCCCAGATGCTACAGGTTCCACAGATTGCATTCATCCAGGTAACCACAAAGCCAGTGGAGCACCTCTGGGATTGTCCCAGGAGTGGACACTGCTCCCTCCTGACTGTGAGCTGCCAGAGGTGTCCCTGTGCGGGAGGGGAGGGTGCAGGCTTAGAGCATCCAGGCCAGAGCAGCCTAGAGGCCACCCTAATTTATACCACATCATGGCTCTGCACAGCACTGCCCTCAGATGAAGTCTCAAGCGGTGCGCAGACACCTTGGTCTGTACCAGAGTTCTCAACCATGTGAGAGCTATGTCTCGATTTCCACTGTGACGTGTTTCCCAGGTTTGGCTCTGGGAGCTGTAATCTCCAGTTACGAGGCTCTAGGATACGTTTAAAACTGGGCAGTTCATGCTTTTCTTTCCTTAGTGCAGTCAGTTACATTTTTAAACACCACCATCCCATTTGTATTCCTGCATTAGCTTGGCACACTTCCAAAACAGAGCTGCCAGCCAAAAAAAGCTCAAGAGCTTGAGGCTTCAGACCTTAGAATAATTTTCTTTGGTGAGTTTTATTTATCTCTAAAGACAGAGAATACTCTTAAGTTTCTCAAACAGCATCTTGATCCTATTTATTTTGGAGTTGCTGCAGTACTCTACTACCAGAGCAGCAGCCAGCAAGGCAGAGATGTTCTGCCCTTGAAGCCACAGGGCTTTGAAACATCCAGTATGATGTTCAGCTGTTGAAAAAGGTTGTTTTGCTTCTTGCATCCTGAGTCCTTGTCACCACTCTCAAAAAGCTCAGGGGAAGATACTTACTGGGAGAAAATAAATCAGGCGTAAAAATCTAAATAACACCCCCAAGCACACATGTGCTTATACACATATCTACACTTGGGGTGAAATATCACATACCCACAGTTATGATCTGGTTCCAGAGTTTCCACAATTTCTAGAATCAAGTGATGCAAGTGTTTCAGATGGGATCTTCAGTTATTTTCATATTGGTCTAAAT